TTTTTCAAATTTAGATATGTTGTTTCTTGTGACTAAATGAAGGTGAAGTTCAATTTTCACGATTTTAGTATTTCTCCTTTTTGAGTTATCGCCATTTGTAATATCAAAAAGTGGTATTTTTAAATATTTTACTCTTGTTATCATATTATGACTAAGCATAGTAAATGTCTTATCTCAAAATTAAAATTGGAGTGACAGATTTATTTGAAAATTTTCTATTTCCTAAGTGGTAATGATAATAAGCTATATTATTAGACATTTTGAAGTTAATTACATTATTAGTTATTATATATGTAATGTAAGAGTACTATGTTAAACCATAGTTCTGTTCAAAAGAATAACCCTTCAGATTTGCAAGTATGATTTCATTATTAATTAGATCTGGGAAATATCTAAGCATATGATAATCATTGGAGTGACAGATTTATTTGAAAATTTTCTGTTTCCTGATAAGATCTGTAGGACTGTATATATAAAGTTTGAAATTTACTAGAAGGACTGTATAAATAAAGTTTAAAATTTAATGTTCATTATTAGACATTTTGTAGATAATTAAGTCTCCCTAAACCATATATATTCCTACCCCCACCCCCTCCAATTTGAGAATGTGCTTTTATCTTGTAAACGGTCGAGATCCCCACCCCTAAACCATATATATTCTTGCATGGGACAATAAAACAAATCAAATGAAATATTGAGGGAGTCCCTGGGTTCACCCCCATCCCCTCCTGTTTAAGAACTTGTAAACGGTCAAGATCCCCACACCAAAACCATATATATTCTTGTATGGGACAATAAAACAAATCAAATTAAAAAAAAGGCGAGTCCTCTGGGGTCACCCCCACCCCTCCTATTTAAGAACTTGTAAACGGTCAAGATCCCCACCCCTAAACCATATATATTCTTGTATGAAACAATAAAACAAATCAATTGAAATTTAGGGGAAATCCATGGGGGTAACCCCCACCCCCCCCCCCCCCTTCTTTTTGATAACTAGTAAACGGTCAAGATCCCCACCCCAAATCCATATATATTCTTGTATGGGACAATAAAACAAATCAAATGAAATATAGGGGAAGTCCCCTGGGGTAACCCCCAACCCCTTCTTTTTGAAAACTTGTAAACGGTCAAGATCCCCACCCCGAAACCATATATATTCTTGTATGGGACAATAAAACAAATCAAATGAAATAAAAGGCGAGTCCCCTGGGGTCACCCCCACCCCCTCCTGTTTAAGAACTTGTAAACGGTCAAGATCCCCACACCAAAACCATATATATTCTTGTATGGGACAATAAAACAAATCAAATTAAAAAAAAGGCGAGTCCCCTGGGGTCACCCCCACCCCTCCTGTTTAAGAACTTGTAAACAGTCGAGATCCCCACCCCTAAGCCATATGTATTCTTGTATGGGACAAAAAAATAAATCATGAAATAAAGGGCAAGTCCCCTGGTGATCACACCCCCCTCCCCTTTTGAGAACTTGTAAACGGTCGAGATCTGCACCCCTAAACAACCCTATATATTCCTGTTCGTCATTTCAAGAAGATTTGAATGACATACAGGGTCAATCCATAGGCGTCACTTATGCATATCACAAACCAATTTGTACTGGACTTTGCCCAATGTCGGGCGACCATGGAAATGACGAATTATTGGAGCTTTGTTTGGGAGGCTTCGTAACAGCATCCTGTTACAATTATTTATTGTTACTGATAATTAAGTTTTACAGATTTTGAAAAGACATTGTATTAATGATAAATAAGATTTTGGATTTTTTTCTTCTTTTCTTTGGTAAATTGTTTGAAGAATTTTGTGGCAATTTACTTTGTTATTCTGTAAAAACTAATTTTCTGAATGCTATATATTTTTTTTCATGAAGTGAACTCCTTTAAAAACTAAGCTTATATTGTTTATTAATAAGCATATATTTAGATTTCTGATTTTGGGCCCAGTTTTCAAGTTGGTCCAAATCGGGGTCCAAAATTAAACTATGTTTGATTTCAACATAAATTGAATAAATATAGGGTTCTTTGAAATGCTTAATCTAAACCTGTATTTCTTTTCATTATTAATAAGATAATACCACATTGAGGTCCAAGGGGTCCTAAATTAAACTTTTGTTTAATTTCATCAAAAATTGAATTCTTTGGTTCTTTGGTTCTTTGATATGCTGATTCTAACAATGTTTGAGTGTTAAATCATATCTAATTTTAGAGAACTAAGTCATTACTGGTTGTTGTTATTATATTATTGATTATAATTTGAAAAATTGCATCATATCTTATTTTACAAAATGTTTTATCCAGTTTGGGTTATTTCCCTTTGCACAGAAAATATTATGGATAAAATTAACCTGTGTTTCATTTCAACATAAATTAAATATATATAGGGTTATTTCAAATGCTGAATCTAAACCTGTATTTAAATATTAGATTTTTGGGCCCAGTTTTCAAGTTGGTCCAAATCAGGGTCCAAAATTAAACTTTGTTTGATTAAAAAAAAAATTGATTTTATGGGTTTCTTTGAAATGCTGCATCTAACCATGTATTGAGAGATTTTGTATTGTGGGCACCTTTATCAAATTGGTCCACATGGAGGTCCAAAGGGTCCTAAATTAAACTTTTGTCTGATTTCATCAAAACTTGAATTCTTGGATTTCTTTGATATGCTGATTCTAATATGTACTTAGATTTTGGATATTGGACCATAATAGGTAAATGTCTAATTTCAAATATTTCAGTTCTTTGACCACATTCATTTTGTGTCACAAACCTATGCTGTGTCAAATATTCAATCACAATCCAAATTCAGAGCTGTTTTAAGCTTAAATGTAGTTTCCATACTTGCTCAACTGTTCAGGGTTCGACCTCTGCAGGAAAATCCGGTTTGCTGTCACTCTGACAGCCTCCTGTAATTACGTGTTATAGTGTTCTTTGTTCATGGTTCGACCTCTGCAGTCGTATCAAGCTGCGCCCAGCGAATCATTTCATTGCATTTGTCATTGGCACTTCTGACTTAACAAACCAGGGCCCAGAATTGATTTCTTGTATATCAAGACTGGTGTATTTGTAATGTTTACGCATTTTTATGCCCCCGCCGTAGCGGTGGGGGCATTAAGTTTTACCCTTGTCCGTCTGTACGTACGTACATACATACGAACGTACGTCCCAAAATTGGTGTCCGTTCTCTAACTTGAATTTGCCTCAACGAATTGTTATGAAACTTATACACAGTGCTTATTACCACAAAACACAGATCAAGTTCGAATTTTGGTGGCGTTACTTTAACCGTTCTAGAGTTATGCCCATTTATAAATGGAAAAATTGCAAAATGTTTATTTTCTTCTAAATATCAAGTAAATTTTAAAATTGGAGTTATCTTCCTTTGTCCATGATTATAGTTGAATCAACTACAATCAATGCTTTATATTTAATTTTGACTTCCACTGATAAAACACAGATCAAGATGAATTTGGATAGTGTCACTTTAACCATTATTGAGTTAAGTCCCTCTTTATAAATCGAAAGATTGCAAAATTTTTAGTTTCCATTCTGTAACTTAAGTTTGCCCCAACCAAACATTATGAAACCTATATACAATATTCATTACCACAAAACTAAGATCAAGTACACATTTTTTGTTTCCGTTTTCTAACTTTAGTTTGCCTCAACCAAATGTTATGAAACTTATACCCAATGCTTATTACTACATAATACAGATTAAGTACGAAATTTGGTGGCGACACTTTTACCATTCTTGAGTTATGTCCCTTTATAAACATAAAAATTGCTGAATTTTCGTTTCCGTTCTATAACTTTAGTTTGTCTCAACCAAATGTTATAAAACTTATACACAACCGTTCTAGAGTTATGCGGTGGGGGCATTAAGTTTTTCCCTTGTCTGTCTGTACATAACGTACGTATGTCCATAATTACGTCCGTCCTTACGTCCCAAAATTGGTTTCCGTTCTCAACTTGAGTTTGCCTCAACCAAATATTTTGAAACTTATACACAATGCTTATTACAAGAAAACACAGATCAAGTTTGAGTTTTGGTGGCGTCACTTTAACTGTTCTAGAGTTATGGCCCTTTATAAATGGAAAAATTGCAAAATTTTTATTTTCTTCTAAATGTCAAGTAATTTTAAATTGGAGTTATCTTCCTTTGTCCATGATTATAGTTGAATCAACTTCAATCAATGCTTTATACAATGCAATGTTTAATTTTGACTTCCAGTGATAAAACACAGATCAAGATGAATTTGGGAAGTGTCACTTTAACCATTATTGAGTTATGCCCCTTTATAATTCGAAAGATTGCAAAATTTTTAGTTTCCATTATGTAACTTAAGTTTGCCCCACCAAACATTATGAAACCTATACACAATATTCATTGCCACAAAACTAAGATCAAGTTCAAATTTTTTGTTTCCGTTTTCTAACTTTAGTTTGCCTCAACCGAATGTCATAAAACTTTAGTTTGTCTCAACCAAATGTTATAAAACTTATACACAACCGTTCTAGAGTTATGCGTGTTTACAAATAGAAAAATTGCTGAATTTTTCGTTTCCGTTCTCTAACTTTAGTTTGTCTCAACCAAATGTTATAAAACGTTAATTTGTCTCAACCAAATGTTATAAAACTTATACACAACCGTTCTAGAGTTATGCGTGTTTACAAATAGAAAAATTGCTGAATTTTTAGTTTCTGTTCTCTACTTAAGTTAGCCTCAACCAAATGTTATGAGACTTACACACAATGCTTATTACCACAAAACTCAGATCAAGTTCAAATTTGGGTAGCGTCACTTTTATTGTTCTTCAGTTATGTCCCTTTATAACTATATGATATGCAAGCGGGGGCATCATCTGTGTCCACATGTGGACACTATCCACATTTATTTTCACAATAGAATATTGTTTCCACGAAGACTCGAGGAAGCATTCATAATCAAAAAAGTTTTCTATCGTTGAATGTGAACGTGTTACTTGTATTTTAGATGGATTGAAAGATAATATACTGTATGAGTCATCACAGCCTGATGGCTTGAAAAAAAATTGTTTATACCAGTCGGCAGGACCTAATGTAGAAAGTCAGAAGAAACCCCTATCTTCCAGTGAATATGCTATGGTCCAAAAACCAAATGCTATATATGCTGAAGTTAATAAAGTGGCTCAACCTAAGGATGGCAAGAAAAAGAAACAAAAAGGTATGCTATTGAAAAGTACCAAACACTATTAAAATTGTTTTAATTATTATATTCATTAAAACTGTAGTTGCTTAATAGTATGGTTATAGGCGAGGCCACAGAAGACGTTTATGAGTAAATATATCATACTTTAATTAACAGATAAACACAGCATTTTCTAGCAACCCTTATTGATATTCGTCAATTAAACTTCTGTATTAATATGTTTTTTATACGATTGCAAGGTTTTTGCGTTCATATAATGTTATTGTGTTGTCAGCCTCGTCGTCATTCGGATACATTTGGTTTCCAGACAATAACTTGAGTATAAGTGTATGGATCTCTATGAAGTTGTACCACAGGGTTCCATACCACAATAGGAAGGTTGAGGTTGATTTTGGGCATTTATTGTCCTTTTGCTGTTAAGGAATTAGGGGCCAACAAGGGCAAAAAACATTTTTCTTGTTTCAGGACAATATCTTGTGTATAAGTGTATGGATCTGTATGAAATAGTAACACAAGGTTTCATACATCAAAAGGAAGGTTGGTATTGATTTTGAGGGTTATGGCCCAAACTGTTTAGGAACTAAGGGCAAAAAAAGGGCCAAAAAACTAGGACTTTCTTGTTTCTGGACAATAACTTGAGTATACGTCTATGGATCTCTATGAAATTGTACCACAATGTTCCATTAAAAAAAATGAAGGTTGGGAATGATTTTTGGGGTTATGGCTCTAACCATTTGGGAAAAATGGGTCAAAAACAATACTTTCTTAATAATTTGTAAAAATTGCTTATTTCTTGACCAATTTCAATGGGGTTTAATTCAAAGTCTTCAATTCTTGGGGTTCTTTAATATAACCGTGTATTAAGGTTTTGGATTTTGGACCCCGTTTTTTAATTGGTACACATTGAGGTCCAAAGGGTCCAAAATTAAACTCTGTTTGATTTCAACAAAAAATGAATTCTTGGGGTTCTTTGATATGCTGAATCTAACGGTTTAATTTAAATTTTAGAATTTGGGCCTGGTTTTCAAATTCGTCCACATTAAGGTTAAAAGTGTCAAAAACTAAACTTAGTTTGATTTTAACATAAAATGAAATTAAGGGTTTTTTTTATAAGCTGAATCTAACTGTGTATTTAGATTTTGGATTCTCGGCCCCATTATCAAATTGGTCCACATTGAGGTCCAAAGGGTCCAAGATCAAACTTTGTTTGATTTCATCAAAAAATTGAATTATTGGAGTTCTTTGATATGCTGCATCTAACCATGTATTTAGATTTTGGTAATTGGACCATAAAAGGTATATGTCCAATTTCAAATTTTATGCTCTTAGACCACATTCATTTTGTGTCACAAACCTATGCTGTGTCAAATATTTAACCACAATCCAAATTCAGAGATGTAGTGCACAATTAAAAGAAATTGAAAGTAGATTCATAGTTAAAAAGTAGACACAGCATCATATTCTAATTTTAGAAATTATGTATACATATAGTTTGAAATTTACTGTTCATTATTAGATATTTTGAAAAATTAAGGTAAATTTTATAAATTTTATGCGACATTGTATTAATAATGATTGATATTTTGGTTATTATTATTATTATTTTTTTGAAGAGCTTCCTGGTAGGTTTGTTTCTTATTCTGTATAAACTAATTTGCAGAATGCTATATTTAATTTTTTTAAGAAGCGAATCCCTTTAACAGTGTTTAAAAACTTAGCAAATATTGTCCATTAATAAATAAATAAATGAATTAAATTCTTTGTGTACTTGGATATTATGGTCCATTGATAAATAAATTAATTAAATTCTTAGTGTACTTTGATATGCTAAATCTAACCCTGTATTTAGATTTTGGATACTGGACAATAATAGGTAAAATTTTTCATTTCTTTGACCACATTCATTCTGTGACAGAAACCTAAGCTGTGTCAAATATTTAATCACAATCCAAATTCAGAGCTGTATCAATCTTGAATGTAGTGTCCATACTTGCCCGAACTGTTCAGGGTTCGACCTCTGCGGTGATATCTAGCTGCGCCCCGCGAAGCATTTTATATTAGGTGGTTAGGTACATTATCTTTTATGTGTTTTGTATAGAGAAGTTTTTAAAGGCAGTGCTTTAATGCCTTTCTAGTTGCCGGGTTAATCCTTCCTTCCGCAATATCCAACTTATCTACGTGGGGGGTCATTAGACTCCAAGTAGATCCGGAAATGTTGAATTCTCTCCTCTTCTTATTGCGATATAAAATGTTTTTTGTTTCATTTCATTTACATTGGGAAATAGAGAAACGATCATTGTGTTTTGTTAGTTTTAAAAACTTTTGATATATAAGTATTTTGCATTATAAGCAGTCAACCGATTGACAAACTAGAATTATTTGAATTCCGTGTGGAAAGAGCTCGGGTTAATTTCGAGTGTTATCTGCAATCTAGATGTTTATAAATCATTTCAGTCGTTGATATAATAATTAAAGGTCGACTGAACATGAATTATATTATACAATTTAAAGCGCATTTCTGTTTATGCACGTGAACCCGTCTAACGTTATTTTCGCAGTTATATAAAGTAGCAACTTATCGTTCCTGAATAGGTGGCGCCGTGGTAGCGGATCCTGTTCCTCTTCTTCCGGTTTCTGCACTGTGCAACTATTTCAGTTATATTTTTAATTAACGATGCCAAGTACTTGTTGTTGTGTACCTGGATGTCATTTAAGAGGAGGACATGCATTTCCAAATGACTTAAAAAGAAGGAAAAGTTGGATCAACGCCATGGCCCATACGCAGATTGGACGAGAACACGATGATATCGTGGAGTCCATCTCAATCAGCTGTTGTTTGCAAGGCACGTTTTACTGAAAAAGACTACGTGCAGGAAACTATTCATGGTAAAACTCTATTTTCTTTGTGAAATATATAGTTATATATGTAATCTCCATGCGAATAAACCAAAGTCTGTTTACAACCGCAATTATCGTTTTAGAATAAAAGGGGGTGGGTAATTCAAGACGTCATAATTTTTTGGATTACGATTCAATGTGATCTGTTTGAGATTTTTTTGGTGATTGCTACAATTATAATGATTTCTTACAAGAGGTATATCATACTGAGAATTATTTTAGCAGTAATTATGCTAATGTAGTAATGACAGGAATGCATAAGCTATGCCTCATAGACTTTCTTGAAAAATATCAATGACAATGTTAACAGGAACAAAACAATGACATGCTCTCATCTATATTATAGTTATTTAGGTACAAACAATGTACGTTTGTTGCATAAGTCTCTCATTGTTTGTCCTTTGGATTTACATAACATACATTGAATCAGGCAAACATAGTTTTATCCAGATTGTAATGAATAAATCTAGTTAATATTTCGCCAGGTAGTACAAAGTATACATTGCTAATGGAAGTTCATTTAATTATAAAAAATCTAATGTTTTATAACCTTTTTCAGGGCGCAAACCCACCATACAGAGACTTAAGTCTACTGCAATTCCCAGCCTATTTTCCTGGACCAAGCAAGAGACTGAATCGTCCGCAAAAAGAAAAATCAGGGCAGTTTCCTGTGAAAACAAAAGAACTAAACTTGATGAATATTGTAGTAGAAATCTAGAGGAAAGTTTTGATTGTAAAGTTGGTTTTCCTGAAGAAGTCATTCATACTGCAGAAAGGATTTATGACTGTCCACCACCAACTGCCGAGCTTATGTTGAGCTTCACAGATGGAATTACGCAAACACCATCAATGCCTATGTTTTCAGCAGAGAATTTTGAAATGAAGACACGTGACACAGCCATGCATTTTTATAACGGTTTAGAGTTGTATACTAAATTTTTATTTGTTTTGACCACACTTGGTCCAGCAGCACATTGTTTGAGATACATATATTTTCAAATTGATAGGGTGTCAGTTGAAAATCAGTTTTTTTATGACTTTGATGAAATTGAGGCATCATACAACCAACTTTGAACTGTCTAGATTCTAGATTGAATCTAGTGTTAAGAATATTGTGTATACATGGATTATTTTTATGTCTAAACAGTGGTGTGAGGCTAACACTTGGCCATCTAGTGGTTTAGTCAGGTATTTTTCACCATCCAACTTCAAATTAAAGTTTCCTTCGACTTGGATTATTATTGACAGCACAGAATATCCCGTGATAAAACCTAAAGCTCCTAGAGCTCAGGCAACCTTTTCATCAAATAAAAACAGAAACACTGAAAATTCTTGAATGTTCGACACCTAGTGGTTTAGTCAACTATGTCTCTATGTCACATAGAGCGAATTATTGGACTTGGCAAAACATACAAAATTCTAATAAATCCTATGAATGAAACTGAAACAAAACTTTCATCTGAAATAACATTTAGTTGTTGTATGTTGTGTAATTTTAGAACTTGTATTGTGCCAAAGGATGCATAAATAAAAGTGACGCAATGAATTTTGTTCTGATATATATATATTTACAATTACATGCACATGTAAATTGTAATGCATATAAGAATAAGGAGATGTGGTATGATATTCAGTGAGTTTATCAAACTAAAGTGCATAAGAAATGGGTTTAAGCAGTTACAGGTGTTACTGTCACCGTACAATCTCCAACAATGAGAAAAACTCGTACCCTGTAAAAAATTTCAGAGATCTTACAACTAAGTTTTGTTGTCTCACCTTGACTTTGGTGAATTTTTATACGCCCGTCAAATTTTTGACGGGACGTATTATGTTATACAAATGTCCGGCGCCCGTCTGTCTGTCCGTCTGTCTGTCCGGCGTAAACATGTCGCACCGTAACTTGAGAATGACTTATCCAAATTACATGAAACTTAACATAGTTGTTTCTTATGATGGTCAAACGATCTGTATACTTTTTGGTGAAAATAAGATTAAAACTTTTTGAGTTACGGGACTAAGTAACTAAAACAGGTGTGTGTTTTTTTTCACATGTCGCGCCGTATCTCAAAAACAATTTAGGATTATTGCTTAAAACTTTACACACTTCTTAGTTATATTAATCTTAAGATCTGTATACTTTTTGGTGATGATTCAAAATTTTATTTTTGAGTTATTGAGTATTTTGTTAAAAAAGGGGAGGGGTTTTTCACACGTCGCGCCGTATCTCAAAAACAGTTTATGATTATTGCTTAAAACTTTACACACTTCTTAGTTATATTAAACTTAAGATCTGTATACTTTTTGGTGATGATTCAAAATTTTATTTTTGAGATATTGATTTTTTTTTTTTAAAAGGGGTGTTTTCACATGTCGCGTCGTATCTCAAAAACGATTTATGATTATTGCTTAAAATTTTACACACTTCTTAGTTATATTAATCTAAATATCTGTATACTTTTTGGTTTTGATTCAAAATTTTATTTTAGAGATATTGAGTTTTTTGTAAAAAAAAAGGGGGGGTTTTCGCATGTCACGCCGTATGTCAGAAACTATTTATGCTTATTGCATAAAAATTCACACACAAGACGACGGGCGTATCATGCGCTCATGGCGCAGCTGTTTATTTATATCTGTTGATGTAAATATAAAAAAGAAGATGTGGTATGATTGCCAATGAGACAACTCTCCACACATGCACAAGAGACCAAATGACACAGAAATTAACAGCTATAGGTCACAGTACGGCCTTCAACAATGAGCAAAGCCCATACCGCACAGTCAGCTATAAAAGGCCCAGAAATGACAATGTAAAACAATTCAAACAAGAAAACTAACGGCCTATTTTATGTAAAAAAATGAACAAATATAACAAATATGCAACACATAAACAAACGACAACCACTGAATTACACTTTTATAGGCTCCTGACTTGGGACAGGCACATACATGTACATACAGAATGTGGCGGGCTTAAACATGTTAGCGGGATCCCAACCCTCCCCCTAACCTGGGACAGTGGTGTAACAGTACAATATAAGAAAGAACTATAAAAATCAGTTGAAAGAGGCTAAACTCATCAGATGGATAAATACAAATACAAGTGGACGTGGTCGGGTAGTTGTACATCCAAACAACAAAAAGACACTAAGTACAAATCTGAGAGTACTCGCAGTTACTGACAGCTAGTTCAAAGCCACTAACAACTGATAAAAAAATCTTGCATCTAAGACTAAATTATCAATCCGTAAGCTCCCTTTAGAATTTTATAAATTTTAGATTTTACATTTCTGAGTTATGGGGTTTTATTCATTAAAAAAGTGGGGATTTTCCAGTTTTTGGACAACAACTCAAAAATGCTTTAAGCAGTTCACATGAAACTTTGGTGAATTATTTATAGCTATTGATGTAATCTCCCTATTGATTTTCATAAATTTCAAATATGACATTGAGAAGAAATTGAACTTTATTTGTTTATAGTCTGGCAACAGATTTATTAAGTATTGCACAACAGCACAGTGTATTGCACAACAGCAAGAAATCTTTAATTGAATATAAATTCAATTCATATAACCGATTTCAAGTTCATTGACTACATTTATTCAGAAACTATAATATGTCAAATATTTAATTACAATCCAAATTCAGACCTGTATCAAGCTTGAATATTGTGTTCATTTTTGCCCCAGCTGTTCAGGGTAGTACCTCTGCGGGTGTATCCAGCTGCGCTCAGCGAATCAGTTTATTTCTTAATTAAGAACTCCTTTTTATACGACCGCAAAAAAATTTTGTGGTCGTATATTGGTATGACGTTGGCGTCGTCGTCGGAGTCGTCATCAGAAGACACATTAGTTTTCGCACTCTAACTTTAGTTTAAGTGAATGGATCTCAATGAAATTTTAAAATAAGGTTCAATACCACAAAAAGAAAGTGGGGATTGATTTTGGGGGTTATGGTACCAACAGTTAAGGAATAAGGGGCCAAAAATAAGCCTTTTTGTAACTTCCAGACATAACTTTTGTGTAAGTGTATGGATCTCACAAGGTTCCATATCACAAAGGGAATGCTGGGATTGATTTTTGGGGGTAATTGCCTCCAAATTTTAGGAATTAGGGGCCAAAAAGGGGCAAAAAACAAGCATTTTTCTAGTTTCATGACAATAACTTGTGTGCAAGTCTATGGATCTCTCTGACATTGTATCACAAGGTTCCATATCACAAAGGGAATGCTGGGATTGAATTTGGGGGTAATTGCCCCCAAATTTTAGGAATTAGGGGCCAAAAAGGGGCAAAAAACAAGCATTTTTCTAGTTTCATGGCAATAACTTGTGTGTAAGTGTATGGATCTTTATGAAATTGTACTACAAGGTTCCATATCACAAAGGGAAAGCTGGAATAGAGTTTGGGGGTAATTGTCCAAAAAGTTTAGGAATAAGGGGCCAAAAATAAGCATTTTTCTAGTTTCCAGACAATAACTTGTGTTCAAGTGTATGGATCTCTCTGAAATTGTACTGCAAGGTACCATACCACAAAGGGAATGCTGGGATTGATTTTGGGGGTAATTGCCTCCAAATTTTAGGAATTAGGGGCCAAAAAGGGGAAAAAAACAAGCATTTTTCTAGTTTCATGACAATAACTTGTGTGTAAGTCTATGGATCTCTCTGACATTGTATCACATGGTTCCATATCACAAAAGGAATGCTGGGATTGATTTTGGGGGTAATTGCCTCCAAATTTTAGGAATTAGGGGCCAAAAAGGGGCAAAAAACAAGCATTTTTCTAGTTTCATGGCAATAACTTGTGTGTAAGTGTATGGATCTTTATGAAATTGTACTACAAGGTTCCATATCACAAAGGGAAAGCTGGGTTTGAGTTTGGGGGTAATTGCCCTAAACGTTTAGGAATTTGGGACCAAAAAGGGGCCAAAAAACAAGCATTTTTCTAGTTTCCAGACAATAACATGTGTTCAAGTGTATGGATCTCTCTGAAATTGTACTGCAAGGTACCATACCACAAAGGGAAGGCTGTAATTGAGTTTTGGGGTGATGAATCATAAGGGGGTTCAAAAAATTTGGGGGGGGGGGATTCTTTTTCCTTATTTTTCTTTAAAATTTTCCATTTTAAATTGGTTATTTCTGATTTATATATAAAAGCAAATGATAATGATATGGTTTGAATAGGTAAATTAAATTTTTTTAAGTATCTTAGACCACTTTCATTCTGTGTCAGAAACCTATGCTGTGTCAAATATTTAATTACAATCCAAATTCAGTGCTGAATCAAGCTTGAATGTTGTGTTCATACTTGCCCCAACTGTTCAGGGTTCGACCTCTGCGGTCGTATCAAACTGCGCCCCAGCGGAGCATTTTATTTCATTCATAAACTACTTTATGCTTGGAAATATAATTTTGCTTGGAGTTGAAAGAGTTGACATGTTGCAATGTACATTTACTCTACATAGTTCTATGGTACCAAATCAAAAGTTTATATAAAGAAAGAAGTCAAAGGTTTCCCATCATAGTTTAGTTACATACATTTTTTTTGTACCTGAGGTCGTTGAATATAGATCATTATATAAATAAGGAGATGTGTTATGATTGCCAATGAAAAAACTAAGGATTTTCTTATCCAAGGAATAGATTTCCTTAGCCGTATTTGGCACAACTTTTTGGAATTTTGGGTCCTCAATGCTCTTCAACTTTGTACTTGTTTGGCTTTGTTACTATTTTGATCTGAACGTCACTGATGAGTCTTATGTAGACGAAACACACGTCTGGCGTATTAAATTATAATCCTAGTACCTTTGATAACTAATTTGACTATAAACATAGATAAAAAAGGTACAAACTGGACATAATGCACTAGTTCATAAACAAGTGAGAACAATCGCCTTCATATAGTGCTCAGAATATGACATTCATAAACTTATTCAATATCATTAGAGAACTCTAAATCTTAAATACTGAAAGCCACCTCTGATAAGTACACTGTACTATGCAAGATAATGATATAACTAGACTTAAAATACACACAACCTGTAATTAACTGCCTTTACAGCGCTTTCGTGCTTTGATTTATTGGTTGTTATTGGGATTTAATTATCCAAAGGATTGGATAAACCCCCTTCATCATCACCAAGAAAACTTGATACTTTTGACTAGAGTACTGCAAAAAGTGTGAAAAAAATGAGTGAAAGGATAGAAATGAACCTTTCTAATAAAAAAAAATGGACTTAAGGAAAATGGATGTTTATTAGTTTTAAGCTCACCTGGCCCGAAGGGCCAAGTGAGCTTTTCTCATCACTTGGCGTCCGTCGTCCGTCGGCGTCGTAGTTGTCGTCGTCCGTCGTCGTTAGCTTTTTACAAAAATCTTCTCTGAAACCACTGGGCCAAATTTAACCAAACTTGGCCACAATCATCATTAGGGTATCTAGTTTAAAAAAATGTGTCCTATGACCCCGCCAACCAACCAAGATGGCCGCCATGGCTAAAAATAGAACATAGGGGTAAAATGTAGATTTTGGCTTATATCTCTGAAACCAAAGCATTTA